CATGGATCTTACTTGGTCCTGCCTGATGAATAATTCTCTTGATGTGTGGTTGGATTCAGGTGGCACTATTTTTGTCTCTATACTCATCATATTTATCAGCATGTGCATACATTATTTATGGTTTGGGAATTAGTGATATTAGCTTCATGGAATGTGTTTGGAAATGTCCCTGATTATTTGGAAGAGTTTGAGAAGATGGATATTAGCTGTGAGAAAATTTCATAAAATTCACTGGTGAAACTATTTGATGTTGGGCTTTTGTTGTTAGGGAGACTTCTGATTACTGTTTTGGTTTCTGTACTTATGTGACTATACTGTATACATTTTCTATTCCTTTCTGGTTTAGTCTTGGAAGATGGTAGGATTCTAAAAAACCTGACCATTTCTTCTAGATGATTTAAATAATCATAAATTTATCATGATTTCTTTTTTTTAAATCTCGTATGATGAACCATTGAGAATGTTCCATGGGCACTTGAGAAAAATATGTATTTATTTCTGAATAATTCATTTAACTCCATACACTAAGATCATTTAAAATGGATAAGGCCCAAAGCATACAATAACAGAAGAAAACATAGAGGAATAGAGGATAGGTTCTGTGCTATCAGTATCAGAGCCATTTGGATATTCAATCCCAACAGAAAGGGCAAAGAAGCAAAAATAAACATGTGAGACTGCAGTAAAATAAGAAGTGTTTCCACAGAGAAACTGAATATCAACAGAATGACAATACAACATTCTGAATGGGAGAAGATATTTGTATACATAATCCTACAATGAGTTAATAGCTAAGTTATATACATATCTATTTTATATACACTTGGAACTCAACAGCAAAAAGATCAACAAACCCAATTTAAAAATGGGCAGATGATCTGAGTAGACCTTTCTCCAGAAAGAACACACAGATGGTCAACAGGCACATAAAATGCTTATCACTTAGCTTTAGGGAAATGCACCATCAAAATCATCATGATATCATCTCACACATGTGAGAATGGCCTACATCAAAAAGACTAGTTAGCAGCAGATATTGGCAGGGTTTTGCAGTGAGCAGAATTCTTACATATTACTGATGAGAATGTAAACTGGTATAACCATTTTGGAAAAGAATATGGAGTGTCCTCAAAAAAAATCTAAAAATAGAGCTAGAACTACCATATAATTAAGCAAGCCCATTCTGGGTAGTTATAGGAAGAATATAAAATCATAAACTCAGAATGGCTGACATGCCTACTATGCTTGTTACAGCAGAATTTACAATAATTAGGGAGTCTACTCAACATTCAATGAGTAGATGACTGGACAAAGATGATGTGGCATATATGTGTGTGTGTGTGTGTGCGCGCGCGTGTGTGTATGCTGTGGAATGCTATTCATATATAAAATGATGAAAATTTTGTCACTTTTTCCAGTAGAAGGAGCTTAAGGGGATTATAGAGAGTAAAACAAGTAAGAAGGATAAAGACCAATATTGAATGATTTCAACTCTTTGTGCAATATAAAGAAACAAAGTCAACAAATGGACAAAATAAAAGTAAAATAAATCCATGGAACAGTGGTAGCCGAACTGAGATTACAGAGTGTGAGCAAGAGTGGAGGGTGTCTAATGAGTGGTGGGGGTATTTAAAAATATGTATATAAAATAAAGAGCTTTATGCTCTACATCATTAATCATCAGGGAGATGCAGATCAAAACAACAATGAGATATCATTTCACACCACAGAGACTGGCCCACATCCAAAAGAGCAAAAGCAATGGGTGCTGGCACGGATGTGGCGAGAAAAGGACCTGCCTTTACTGTTGGTGGGAATGCCGACTGGTTCAGCTCTTCTGGAAAAGAGTATGGGCGATTCTCAAAAAACTAGAAATTGAGCTCCCATTTGACCCAGCAATTCCACTCCTGGGAATATACCCCAGAGAGGCAAAAAAGTATAGTCGAAGCAACATCTGCAGTTGTCTGTTCATTGCAGCACTGTTTACAATAGCTAGAATCTGGAAAAAAACTGAGTGCCCGAGAGCAGATAACTAGTAAAAGAAACTCTGGTACATCTACACAATGGAATACTATGTAGCTGTCAGAAAGGATGAAGTCATAAAATTTACATACAAGTAGTACTACATGGAAAGTATCATGCTAAGCGAAATGAGTCAGAAAGAGAGGGATAGACATAGAAAGATTGCATTCATCTGGGGAACATAAAGTAACAAAATAGGAGACTAACACCCAAGAATAGCTGAGATAAATACCAGGAGGTTTACTCCATGGCTTGGAGGCCAGCTTCACACTCTAAGGGTAAAGGCAGCCCAGATGTAGAAGGGAGCACCAAATGGGTGGTATTGGAAGGATCCCCCCAGGTAGGAGAAGCATGCTGAGACTAGACTCTAGACCAAACATGTTGCCACTCGATGCCTCTTTTGCACCCAAAAGGAGAGAGAGAACAAAAGGGAGTGCCATGCCACAGAGGCAGGGTGGGGTGGGGGAATAAGGGGGGTGGGAGGGGTACTGGAATCAGTGGTGGTGGAAAATGGGCACTGGTGGATGGATGGGTACCCGATCATCGTACAATGGAAACCCAAGCACAAAAATTTATGTCTACAACTGTACCTCATGGTGTTTCACTAATATAAAAATTAAAAAAAATAAAGAGCTTTAGAAAACATGGAGAATGTGAGGCATCTTAGAAAGAGGGATAGGAAGATGAAGAGCAATCTTGGATCTGGCTGTGTTCACCACCTTCGTTGGCCCTTTCCGAGTTCTGAGGTCTCATCTTCTGTCAGGTGTGTTCCATAGTCCTTGACTCCCAATCCCTCAAGGAGATTTCCAATGTAAGATTTTATTAAAGGCAAAGAAAGAGAAGGAGGTAGAATAGTAAAGCGGAAGAATTATAAGCAGTGACTTCTGAAAGAAAGGACCTCTGTCCTATTTCTCATATTCTGTTTTACTTACTCAGTTGGTTTGCCTTGTTTCTCCATGTTCAAGCGTAGAAAAGACATCACCCCTTTCAAAAGTGGGGCTGCCCTGGATTCCCCCAAAAGACGTCCCGGATTTCCTGCAGGTATTTGGAATCCCGGTGTGCTCACCACCTCTTCCCACTGCACACTCACTGCAGGATAGGAGAACTCTGTAGAAAATACAAGCATTTTCTCAAGTGCAACTTTGCAGTTGTTAGATGACAGTAACAGCTCCCGGAGGGCCCTTTTGAACTTTGCCAGAATTTGAGATATTTTAAAGTATTTTCCCATGCTTTCTCTCTCTGTGTATCCAAAGCATGAGCTTTACTTTTCATTTGATACTTATTATCAACTCATATCTAATCATAATGCAAGTTACAAGAAACTTTCTAGGTTTAAAGACTCCCACTTTGCTCCTTCTCATAGTTACATTCTGACCACTAGCAAGGGCTCACAACTCCTGCTTCCAGCTCAAGCTCCACCCAGATGTGCTGTCTGCACCCCAGAACACCTGGTAATGCTCATAGGAGGCCATCCAATAGTTTAATACAGGTAGTTGAAGTGTTATTCCTAGTGTGGGGAGGAGGGGACAAGAAGAGGGAGGGAGGGAAAGAGAGGGAGAAGGAGGGGGAGAGAGAGAGAGAAAGAGAGAGAGGAGAGAAAGAGAGAAGAGAGACATTTATTGAAAGTTTAAGACTGGTACCCTGCGAAGAGTGGAAAGGGCAGTAGAATGTAGAATTTTTCCCCTACAGTTAGCACCAGTCTAGAAATTGCCATATGCTTCTGTGGGACTCTGAAATCAATTTTCTTTTCTTCTCCATTTTTTTCCTTCTTCTATGAAGGAAAATTGTTTGCCTATCGAAAGATCACCTTGTCTCAAAAGTAAAAAAAACACAATTGCTGTAATGATAGGACATAATGAATTGGATTTATAATCATGATGTTAGCCATGTGCACTGATGAAAGGCGTGGTCCTCTTCCCCTCTACAACCACAAAGGCAGAGGCAAGAAAACCATGGCAGAGGGATTTCAGTGAGACGCTGATGGGGAGAGGTGGGTGTGGCCAGTGGTGCTGGAGGGGAGCTCAGCTTGTGAAAGAGCAGGTGACCTGCTGTCTTGCTGGTTGGATGCCTCCATTTGTCTACCAGACTCTTCTTTTCTTCAAATCTCAAAGTCTTCATGAGCTGTTGAGGCTTTGTCAGCCTTTGTGAGCCTGGTAGTCAGTGCACATGTTCTGTTCCATTCATCTTCTGCCAACAGCTATTGCTTTAGTTCTCTGTGTAAATGGGATGAGCCTGAGCAGGAGAACTGGAGAAAAGGCCATTCTCCTCTTCCTAAGAAATGAAGTGAGAAAAGGTCAGAGTGGAGGCAGGTTGCCTTCTTGATGAGGAACAGCCTATGAAACTCTTTTGGATTTCCAACTCCTATAAAGAAAAAGTATTTGTGTGTGTGTATGGGGGGCACACCTAACATTTCTCAGGGCTTATTCCTGACTGGGCTCAGGGATCCCTTTTGGAAGAATTTGGGGGACCATATGGAGTGCTGTTGTTGTTCTACTGCTCCAGTCCCAAAGTCATATAAAATGGTATTAAAATGGTATTCAGCAAAACAGCTCTTTCTGGCTACCCTACTCTGTGCCCATTACACACACACACACACACACACACACACACACACAGAGTAAAAATAGCAATGGGAATGATCAAACAGATTTGTGTTAGTACATTCCAGGGATTTCACTTCTTGCTCACAGATTAAAAACGTTTCCCAACATGGTCAAGCATGATTATGTACAAGTTCTGTAGATGGAGTGAGCTGACCAGGTTTGGCAATAATATGCATGTACTGATGCAGTAGAGTCAAACTTTATGACTTCTGAATTTCCTGCAAAGCCCTGCGACATCATGCCCATTCAGGCTGGGTCCTGGCTTCTCTGCAGCCTCCGTTGGGTACCTGTGTCAGAACCTTCAAGGGGACGGGTGGCATGTGGGTACCTGTGACTTCTTTAATGTCCATTTTTGTTCTGTCTCATCTCCATTAGGCGGGGCAAGAAGCACAGCATCATTCTGAGGACGCAGCTATCTGTGAGGGTCCACGCCTGCATTGGTGAGTGCCCGCCATGGAGGGGAGGTTGACCTTTGGTGTCAGTGATGGAGCAGGTGACCAACACATGTTGCTTATGACAGTCAAAGTGCTCATTGTTCTGCTGTCCACTTGGATCAGCCACCATCTTGTACTGCTCCTTTGGAGTAATTTCTGGGTAGTTTTGCAGTTCTCTTTCATGCTGACTTCTGGGTAGAGTGGAGCTGAAAGGTGATGAGGCTGAGTGTGGAAGAGGAGAGTCTTCCTGAGGCTGTGTTGGGTCACACCCCCCCAACCCACTGAGGTGGTGGACACGTGTCCTATGGTGGTTCTGTGAAGCTCCTTTGGGGAAGTGAGATCTGAGGCAGGGTGGGGTCAGATGCATGACAGGAGAACGAGGCTTAGCTGGGCCAGAGCTCCTGTGGGTTCATGGTGCAGAGTGCATGTTTTATGGAGCAGAATGACTTGCCTCTGGCTACTCAGGGACTGTGCTCACTGGGGTCATCCCTGCAGCTATGTGCTTGTTGGTCCCACTGGTTTCCCCTCTGGCTTCATGTTGAATGGCACTAAAAACAATTATGTATGCAAACTAAATAATATACAAAGACTTTCTATAGCTGGGGCAACTTTCCCCCTGTATGTAATGTCGTAAAAATAAACTAAAATTTATCTTATGTACAGTGGAACTAAGGTTAGAATCTTAAAATCTTAGAATAACTTTGCTTTCGTGGGCTATACTCTCCTAAGGGGCCGGAACGATAGCACAGCAGATAGGGCATTTGCCTAGCATGCGACTGACCCAGGTTCGATTCCTCCATCCCTCTTAGAGAGCCCAAAGCTCCCAAAGCTACCAAGAATATTCTGCCTGCACGGCAAAGCCTGGCGTATTCAATATGCCAAAAACAGTAACAAGAAGTCTCACGATGGAGCATTACTGGTGCCCGCTCGAGCAAATTGATGAACAACGAAAAACGGGAGGACAGTGATAGTGACAGTGACTTTCCTGAGTCAGGCCTCTGGTTATTGAGACTGAAATCATCTTGTTTAGCTTCCAACTCGAGTGTGCTATTCCTCACTAGAGTGGAAGGAATCTTTCCTGTATCCTCCTATTTCTCCCCCTTTTTCTTCATTTTATTTAATTTTTTAAAATTGAATCACCATGAGACACACAATTACAAAGTTTTTTGATTGGGCTTCAGTCATACAATGTTCCAACACCCAAAACTTCACCAGTGCACATTTCTCAGCACCAGTGTCCTCCCTTTTTCTGTTGGAGAGCCAGGGAGTGGGCGAGGAGTGGTTGTGTATGGAGGGGGATCTGTAATTTCACTTTATCTGGTGTTTAGTGTGGTGTAGCTGCACGTGTCTAGAGTGGCAGCTGTGGCTCTGCGGCCTGCAAGTAGCAGACTCAAACCTCAGATGCAGGAGAATGGGGTCAGGAGGGTTGGGATCTGTTGGGAACTAACCAAGACCAGCAGGATGTTCAGCCACTGACTGTCCTCTTTTTTTTTTAATTTTTTTCTTTTTGGGTCACACCCGGCGATGCACACAGGGGTTACTTCTGGCTCATGCACTCAGGAATTACTCTTGGTGGTGCTCGGAGGGACCATATGGGATGCTGGGAAGTGAACCTGGGTTGGCCGAGTACAAGGCAAACACCCTACCTGCTGTACTACCACTCCAGCCCCACTGTCCTCTTTTTCGTTGGTTTGTGGCACTGAGTGCCCACAGGCAGTTGATTGTATTTAATCGGGTGCTCTTATTTCTCTTTTACACTTTCTCAGCTTTTCTCCAGTCTACCTGGAGAAAAAGTCAGTGACCTATGATTTAACCTCCCCACCTACTTCCATCCCAAATCTAGGACAAATCCAGACAGATAATGTGTGAGATGTGTGTAAAGTTAAGTCTTAGTTGTAATAAAGCTGATAACCTGTAGCTATTTTGATAGCTATATTCATTCATAAATATGAATATTTCCTGAGGGTAAGGAGGGCAATGCAAAGCAGATTTACACTAAAATGAGCTGGATCACTTTTTAAAAAAATATTTATTATTTTTAATTTTTTTAGTTTATTAGTTCAAAATATTTGATTACATTTAATATTCAAAAACCAATCCCACTACCATTACACCTTTCCACCACCAAATTTGGGATGTTTCCATCCCAAGCCCCAACCCCTATCCCAAAACACAACCAAAAGAATATATTTCATATTATCTGTTATGAAGAATTGCTGAACATGCTTATAAAAAAATGTTCACATAGGAAACAGTGTGAAGATTGTTTTATTTTGGCAGAAGCCATTAAGACATTCTATAGGATATCACTAACATGTTGTTAAAGTTTGGGTGATGTGAGCTTTGGTATATATGTCTGAAAAAATGTATATATGCATATATATATATATTTCCCACTATGATTTGTTGCCTACTGCCTGAATCCCACCAAATATGGTGTGGCAGTTATGAATAATGGGTAAGGAGTGTCTTATGATGTGTTGCACGGTCCAAGAATATGTTCACTCATATGTGAGGCTCAGCCCGAGCATGTAGAGAGTGGCCTGGAGCGTGGTGGCGGTTGGGTAGTAGAGGTCAACTGCTGGGGCTGGGTCCCTTGGGGCAGGGAGGGCTCTCACCTGCCCCCCTCTGGGGCGCCCTGAGTGAAAACAGCCTGGTGCGGAGTACGGTGGCATGGCTATGGGGGCCTCATTCTATGCTCTGGATCAAAATCTTAATGAGAACATTTACCTTAAAAATTCATTTAAGAAAACATACTCTTTTTGCAGAATGCACTCAAAAATTTCAGGGGTCGGGGCTTTCTAACCAGTTTATCCTTTCCCCCATGGCATGCCAAGCTCCGGTTGCCTGTCCAGCCCAGGCTGTCCTGGAAGTGTGGCCTCTGCTCTCACCTGAGTGCTGATAGGATGTTTCTGACCTCTTCATGCCTCTGACACTGGCTATTAGGACTAAATCATGAAATGAAATGACATGAATGTTTTCTAAGCCAATTTAATGAGAAAATAAAACTCGCTGCTTTAAAAACTCCTTGAAGATTTTGGAAAAGACTTAAATTAGTGACCACAAAGGACTTTCTGTCAACACAAGTGATTGTGACAATTATAAAAGGTTGAGCATATTGTAAAAAAAATATCTAGGAAGATTTTAGTCTTTTGCAAGATTCAGTTTCCACTTGACTTCAGAGAAATAAATATTGGAGATCGTAGACTACATTGGTGGAGTGGATCCTAAAAGAACATTGGCATAGAATTCCAGGCAGTAGACCTTTTGGTCAGAGAGAGGTTGTGGTACAAAACAGGATGTGAAAAAGGCAGCTCAGATAGAGAAGGGACCACCAAGTAAAGGATGCTTGGAGGGCTCACTCAGGATGGGAGATGCAAGCTGAAAGTAGACTATAGACCAAACATGATGGCCACTGAATACCTATATTGCAAACCACAATGCCCGAAAGGAGAGAGAAAGAGAGCAAAAGGGAATGCCCTGCTATAGAGGTGGGGTTGGGTGGGGAGGATGGGGGGTTGGTGGGAGGGATACTGGGATCATTGGTGGTGAGAATGGGTACTGGTGGAGGGATGGGTACTTGATCATTGTATGACTGAAACATAAGCACGAAAGTTTGTAAGTCTGTAACTTTACCTCACGGTGATTTGTTTAAAAATGAAAAAAAAAAAACAGGAGGTGAAGACTTGTCTTCTAATGTGTCATAAGCTTGATGACTTGCTGTAATTCATCATAAAGAAACCATTATGGTTGGGCACCATAATGGCAAGCTAAAGTAGTGTGGTTTTTTTTTTTATTTTTTTAAATTTTTTTAGTACCTATATCTGGTAGTGCTTTGGGCACCACCACCAGTATTCTCAGCCGAACCATGTGCCAGGGATTGAGCCGAGGGTTCTTGCATATAAAATACATGCTCCACTCCTTTGTGCCATTCCCACAAATCTCTAATACGTTTTGAACATGAGTTTCCTCTGGTCAGAATAATCTCAATGAAGGGGGTTCACTATATATGTTAAAATCAGCAGCTAAGAAGACGACATTGTCCCTTTGTATTAAAAAAAAAACCTCTCTTTCCACTTATTGGCAAGAATATGGAATAAATTTTTATAAACAGTACTAAGCATTTTCCTTTAGTTATATAGAGAGAATGGAATGTATATATTATATTTATGAAGTATCATCCCCCATAATGTCATATATTTTCTCTTTCCAAATAGCAATTTTAGATGAAATTTCTTTGGGATGAAATAAACCAAACCTGGAACAATTTGTAGTTGAAATGACTGAGTAAAACATGACACAAGGGACCCCCTTTTCCACATTAATTGTTTGTATTCTCGTTTCTAGTCAGGATTTCTTTCCCCTCTTATTAGAGGAGCTGGACAATGGATATTGTCTTAGGCCTGGGTCATACGTGGCTCCCCAAAGGCTGCCTTCCTAGCATAACTGAGCTGCAAGGATATAGGATCAATCTTTGTCTCATGGGTTTCAAATGCTATCAAGTACATTTTCCAAAAGAATGTTTCCTTTGCATGGTCTCTGCACTGCACAAAGATGACATGAAAATTTGAGATGCATTCCATATTTTTGCCTGAAACAACTCTATATGAACAACTTTGTAAATCACAATATCTTAATAAAAATTTTTTTAAAAAAGAATGTTTCTTTTACCCTGTACTCCCTTCCCTTTATTTCTGCTTCTATGAAATATAGGAATGTTTAGCAATCAGGACTGAACGTTGATATATTGAAAGTGACATGCCTTTGGAATTCTCCAGTGTTAACTTTGGAACCCTGTACCTGTTGTGACAAGAGCTCTCATGACTGGCAAGTGAGCAAACCTCATGAAAAATGATGGCTCTAAGGACGCTGCTTTGATGTCATAGCTAGCAGCCGGGGCAGGGTTCTCTGACAGCCCTGAAGGCTGCATGCATGTGGCAGGGGATTGGAATGAGAATTAGGTACAGGAAGGCCTCCAGTTTAGGGCTTCCTTGCCCTCCACTGTA